GGGGATTAGATGTGACCACAGTTTCATTTTTTAATTCAGGTTAAATAAAATAAAAAAATAAAAAAATTATAGTTATAATAATAACTACAAGAAATAATTATAATAATAATGATAAAATACGTTATTACATAATATGCTTAACCTAAAAATTTTTTTAGTGCAATGTGACAAAACCTACATAATTAGTGTGCAATTCAACGCAGAGATAAATAGGGAAAAGAGGAACGTGAGCTATATATTTACATTCAAAACTGTTGAAGTCTGTAAAAATTTAGGCAAATGTCAGTATTTAAAATATTTCTGCCTCATTTGTCAGAAATTTTGAACATCCAAACGAGATGCAGCAATGAACATGTTGGTTAGATAAACATTGTTACATGCTCAAATCCTTGGTTATTTTTTAAAGCAAATTTAAAATGTACTAGATAATCCCAATTTTTTTAAAAATTGTGAGTTGTTACAGGAAAACTGCTAATTTGATAGCAAATAATAAATAAATAAGCACAATTGCACCCACACAAGCTGCATGTTTATTGTATAATAAGATTACATAATCTGGGTTTTTGTTTTTTTTAACTGAGCTGTTTTATTCATATGTTGAACTCTGTCTTTGATTGTACTCTTCTACATCCATAAATCATTACTTTCCTAGCGCTCCTTTCGATTTGACTTTATTTTGTTATGCTGCATCTTATTCGCAAACGTCAGGGCACAAAGCCAGAGGAGGAAGCCACTGTAAGAGTGTGAATGCACGTATGCAGTCCCGTTTTTGTAATGTGTATTGTGTCATGTTCCATCTTGTGGGGTGGAGCCAAAGACAGATTTCCAAGCTAGTAGACAATTTTTTCCAAACAACTGCTTACAGGCCATATTGTTTTACTGCATATGGCTATATATTAAAGTAATAGCATTAACTGAGCAGTATTGAGATGACCAGCCCCTGTAGGAGAGACTCTTTCTTCCAATATCCTTTAGATGAACTCCTATCTGTGAGGGTGGGTGGAAACACAAGCACTATTCTTAGCTACATCTTCCTGTCAGGGTGGACGTTCAAAGTTTCTCTATTACAATACATGCTATTAGATTCTTTGTTGTCGTCCAAGTGCTACATATGCAAAATAAAGGACAGTAACATGGAGTGAAAGCATCAACACTGAACATTCAGATACTTCACAGTACTCAATTGTGTGTGTGTGCACTTCTGTTCAAGTCTCCATATAGCCTACAGGCACAACTAATGTGTATCTAATGTCTACATTACAAATAGGGAAGTCTATAATACCTGGTGAAAGCTGTCTGTTAGCATTCCCATGCAGTATATGGCCTGCATACTCCTAAAAATAAAGTTTCCAGAAGGGGGTTTAAGCAGTGATGCCAGAAGAGCCATTTTGGGCCCCCCCCACAAAACTTTTAATAAACATTTCTTAAAAGAACCTTTTTTTTCTTGATGTGGAAAACAAATCTAAATAACAATTTTCACTATAAAGAACCTTTTGAACAATAGAAAGGTTCCATTGATGTTAAAGGTTTAAAAAAAAAAAAAAAAAGTACTGTATGTTGCCATATTTACTTACGGGCGATCATATCTTCTTTATATTACATTTTACCAGTAACATTTTAGTGTATTGGGAGGTGAAATTGAAAATTTTCCCAGTCTGTTTTAAATTTTCCCAAGTGTCTTAAATGAGCAAATACACAAATATGATGCTCCCATTATATATATATATATATATATATATGTTTATAGATTTATACAAATGTCAAGTATCTTGGTTGAAGGAATTATCACAGGAAAAGGATTTTCTTGATCTCCTCCTGATGCCATGACTCCGCTTCTATGAACTAAAGTGTCACTAGATTAATGGGAGCATCCTGACAAAATATCAAAAAAAATTATGGACAAATCTAACTAAACAGAGAAAGCTGTATGGATAAACTCACTATGAACAGCCATTCCAATAAATAATAATAATAAAAAAAAAAACTTTCTTCGGTCTCTGATGAGAAAGTGGGGGCGTGACGTTTACGGAAAGTAAATATTGCTCAATCATCTACGTCAGGGTTGTTTTCAAAGCTGCCAATCCGCAACTTCAGCTTTGCAAAACATGTCACTATCCATGAAAGAATGACTGCGCAAAGACGAGAGGATTTCAATGGAAAATAAGGACCATAAACAACATTTTACCTATTAAAACAATTACGGTCACAAAACACTCAAACTAAAAAAAAAAAAAAAAAAGCAGCTGAAAGTTGAACAAAAATATATAACACATTAGTCTAGCAACAGTTTGGCAAATGGAAAAATTTAGCAAAGTATTCGAGCATAAAAAACACTCAAACTAAAAAAAAAAAAAAAAAAAGCAGCTGAAAGTTGAACAAAAATATATAACATTAGTCTAGCAACAGTTTGGCAAATGGAAAACTTTAGCAAAGTATTCGAGCATAAAATCAGGCTGCTATAGTGACATACAGTGCAACTGTATAGATTTTTATTCAGTTCAATACATAACAGTGAATTTCAGTAACATAACTTATCTAGTTGAAAGATATCTGGCTGAAATCTTTCAGACACACTTTACCCAAAATGCAAGAAAAAGGGGGAAAATGCCTAATGCCACAGTTTCTCATGGTAAACACAGCATGTTACACAAATGTTAACATTCTCGGTGTTATTGTCATCTTCATAAACAGCAAGCATATAAAAAGGAACAAACATTAAAAAAAAAAACTATTTTCACCATAGGGGGATTTCAATATTTTATGGCAGTCCAGCAATGTAGCACGTTTGTAGTATTTTTACACTTTCAATTGGTTCTCTTTTTCGTATAAAGTCAGACAAGTTCTTTGCAGAAACCAGAATAACAAAGCACAAAACATAATGAGTGTGAAGAGTTGGCACCTCACATGGCTGTAGAACGACTAGCCATTATTGATGTTCATGTCTCATATGACACAGATCGCAGTAGTGTAAAGGAGGAAATAATGCCACAGTAAGCTTTAGTAGTTCAGCAACTAATACATCGAGGCTATTATTTCTCCTAGTGCAATTAAAGACTCGCCACCACCGATGGCAGTGGAGAAGATCAAGTCGATCCGTTGCGCTTGGTGTTGCTGGCAGCAGCGGTCTGTGATGGAGACACGGTCGGATGCTTCTCCGTCCAGCTGTCGTCTGCCCAGTCGGGTCCTTGAGGATACATCAGACCCCCGACCGAATCAACCAGTCCAAACAGAGCCACCAGAAAAGAAAACGCGGTTCCGATGAAGTAGATCTTCAGAAAGCCGATTCTAGACATGTTTCACTACGGATGTCCAGGACTGACTATTAAAAACAAACAAAGCACACAGCAGCCACGCCATCAATACCGGAAGTTAATACATTGGCTTAAGAATACAATTATTTAGATTTCTTATCTATTTAATAAGACACTGGTGTATTTGAATCAATTTATTGAGAAAAATAGTGTTTCGCTGAATAAGGAAAACGAATACTTCCTTGCTGTAACTTTGAGAAGTCAGACAAAATGCCCCAAATATTATCCAAAATAGCCAAGACAAAATTTCAAACGCTCGTCTTCCTTACCAGGATGGATGGTGGTCTTGCTTGGGAAGTTATTACCGCAGTGTCAGTGTGCGTTTTGCCTCCTATGTCATTACATCACATAACATCCCTCCGTGTGAAGTGGGAGTTTCCAGCATTTGCAGAAATTCCCTCGATGTGAAAGAATGGTTCTTTTGAGGGGAATCTTCTCAATGAATCACTTGAAGCAGTTCACAAAGCCAGTCCGAAGCATTCCTGGCTCAACGAGCCGGTCCAAGCTGTTCTCGAATCAAAAGCTCGTGCTTACAGTTTTTGCTTACCGCGCGAAAAAACGTTATTCATAGCCAAAGAGCAGGAATGTTACAAAAGAAATGTAACGTTACAGGAAATGTGTTTACGACGATTGTATGACAGCTTTATTAACACATAGCCTATCCTAGATAGTAAGAGAATGTTCACGCCTGAGGGAGTTACATACTGGGACATTTTATTGTTTTATGAGCGGGGACACATTAAATTACAACAGGCTTCCCTACAAAAACGTAACATCTATATAGGCCTATGGCTTTATTGGAATATTTTCGAGCACGCAAGGCCAGACGTACGGACGTTATTGCGTCAGGACGTAAAAGAATCACTGAATCGTCCCCCCCCCCGAACTGTTCAAAAGAACCGATTCGCGGAAATAACTATTTCCCCATCGGTTGCCATTTTATATATATATATATATATATAAAAAACAAGCCTGAAATAAACTCGTTTTATTAAAATCAGCCAACTTATTGGTTATTCCAGTGAAACAGGATGTTCTTTGTGAGTCTGAGTCATCAGAAAGCACCAACGAAAATGCGTAAAAGTGACTAAAACGTGTTTGAATTTAGTATTAGCATTCTTCTACACTGATTTGTAAATGTGCATAATGTTAACAGTTGGTGACTTTGTGTGCAATTCAAAAGCTCAGCAAAATATTTAATCAGAGTATAATGGGCAATTGCGCAATGGAGGCGGTATGAAGATGAAAAAATGGTCTATGCTGCTCTCTTCTGGTGGACGAAAGAGAGAAAATGATGATATAGAAATGACCATAAATGCTCGATAGGGGGAGCAGAAACCAAAGCCAAGTACCAAAAGTTTTTTTTGGACATGAAGGCTACAAAGACAATACCATGTAAATAGCATAGTTATAATATGAACATGGTAATTGACTAGTTTCATAGTAAATGTGCTATGCTAATACAAAGTTTTTGTAAGGGATGCAATGGACTGCAGGCAGAGTTGGATAAATACTACATATAATGCAGGGCTGTCCAAACTCGGACCTGGAGGGCCGGTGTCCTGCAGAGTTTAGCTCCAACTTGCCTCAACACACCTGACTGGAAGTTTCTTAAGTTAATTAGCTGGTTCAGGTGTGTTTAATTAGGGAGCTAAACTCTGCAGGACACCGGCCCTCCAGGACCGAGTTTGGACAGCCCTGATATAATGCATTGCAGTAATGAGGAAAGCTTTAGGTTTTATGAGCGGTCATTGTATTTAAAAAGTAAAATTGAAACTCTGTGTCATGTGCTTGATCCTGTCACACTGTTCAGTGAATGGGACTCCCACAAAATGTGCATGAGATTCATTATCATGGTAACCACATGAGAAGAGAGATGTTTGATTCACCAGACAGGATGACAAATGCATTATATACAATATTTTAGATTTTGAAGACAGTCAGCTACTGTTTTTCCATAAGGTCTAAGAGGATTTTAGCTTAAGCTACTGTCTCCAACCAGCAACCATCTGCTTTTGGTTCATATGAAATATACAGGAAAAGAAAACCTTCAGTTATAGAGCACAATGCACTTATCAGCTACTCATTTACAATGTGTTTTGACGCATAATCTGTGGCCTTCATTGTGAGGAATGCTTATTTATAGAGACTTTGTTATCTTGATTGTTTATGAATAAACCCCTAACCCTAAATCTTCTGCATGTGCTATAAACATGAAGGACACTTCAAAATAAGTAGGTTAAGCAATTAGAGGACTTTTGCCTTGCATGCGGAAAAAAATATCAAAGGCTAAGTGATATAGGTACAAGAATATCATAGACACTGGAGGACTATTTTAACTTGGGTCAGTAAACACCACCTAGCAACCACCAAGAATACCCTAGCCACATTTTAAATGTTTGTTTTGTCTGATTGTTTTCTCTATTTTGTTTAATCTAAATTTGCTTTGTTTTCTTTCATTTGTTTGCCTGTTTGGTTTTATCTGTGCGTTTTATCCATTTCTGGTCTGTTTGTTTACCCATTTAAAAGGTGAAACCTTTTGATATTAGTATTTTCTAGTTTGATTCATCTACTAGTTTTTTTTTTTTTT